GGGGGTTGCATTTTCTGTTTTGCTTTTCATTGCAGATTCTGTACATCTGTTTGTGGGAGGAAGCTGCTACTCAGGACAGGACTTAAGAAACACATTCCAAGTGACCTTTAAGAGTCTGCATTGTGGGAGGTCCTTTTCCTGAATTGTGGGTTGGTCCACTGTGGGACTCACCAAGGGAAGATGATAAAATAACATTAAAGAAAGAAGGATCCCCAGTGGTTAAGACTGTAATTCAGATTGAAGCCTCTTGGAAAGGTTGGTATGGTCTAGCAAGTTGCCCATGGAAGCAATCCTTGAGTTCATCAGCAGTGTGGTGAGGCTGGCAGAGTGCGTGCAGATTTCTGGCTTTGATTTTTGAGAGCCCCTGTCACAGTTGTGTTTACAACAGGGGACAAGGAGGGCCCTGTGCTGTGGCCTCTGACTAAAACTCGAACCCAAAGGCAAGTCTGGCCATTCATCCCAATGCCTTGATTTGGGGTGAGGAGGAACACCCCCCCCACTACTAGCCCCTTTCCCATGTGGAAGCCAGAGGGGCAGGCCTTCTCTCTCCTGTTCCCTTCGCCCCACCTCATGTCAGGGCCCAGACATGTGTCACTCACTGTTACAGAGCAAGGAGACAACGGTTGAGAAGCATATGGCAGAAATTAAAAAAAGAAAACTGTATGTCTCATCCAGGGAGAAAAGCAGTGACCTACAGATTATAAAACTCAATGAGTACTTATTCAGCTGGGTCAGCCGAAATCTGAGCCCTCACACACCGGCCTGACAGGAAAGCTAAGCGGAAGCATCTCAAAAAAAAGGATAGAACAAGAACTTATAAAATATGGTGAATACAAGGCCCTGTAACCCCATAGAAACTTTGTGCAGCATTTCTTTGGGCACCATTAATACATAGGTAGGTAGGGAGGGTCCCAGGAGAAAACAACAGGTAAGGGCCTGGAGATAGCTGTGGGTATACCCCGGAGAGCAGGCACTACCAGAGACCTGAAGGTGACAACAGGTGAAGGTGGGTGAAAGCTAGTGACATCAGCAAAGCACATTTGAATATCTTCAAAGGAGCTCTTGTATTTCTCTGTATAATGTAAAGACTTGCTATTTCAGGATGACTGACCTGCTCGGTGACACACATGTTCCAAATAAAG